GGGGCGAGCGGGGCGGGGGGCGGCCGCTGGGACCGTTGGGACCCTCGGCCCGCGCGGGCGTCGCAGCCACCCCTGCTGGGTGTTTCTTTTGGCGACGGGTCCGGAGGGCGTCGTCGGGGGGTGCTGGGGTCGCAGCTTATGGCCATTTTGGCCGCTGCGATTTTACTCCTCGGCTCTCGCGGCTGGCGGGGGGAAGGAAAGTCCAGGTTCCTCTGGCAAAGCGAAGTGTTCAGGTCTGTCAGCAGCTGCCTTTGCGTTTTTCTGAGGCAGCGATGTGCCCCTCTCTTCAAACGGGCGTACGTGGCCCCAGAGTAACGCGACTTGCTCAAAGTACTGCGTGGTACTATCTTGATAATGGTAGCTATTGGTAGTGATCAGTGTTAACAACTTTTTGCCATTGATAATAATGGTAGCACCGTGATGCGAAGGCACATCGTGCTCCAGTGGAACACCTCGTTACTTACTCACGGGTAAGTTTTTGGGAGAAAGCAGGGCCAAGTGCCAGCGCCGACAGTGGGCTCGTAGGGGTGGGCGTCGTGGCTGAGACTGCTGGTCCAGCTGGTGCCATGCCCTGTCTGTTGACGACCTCTAGGCAGTGACCCAGGGAGGGATCTGGGAGATGTATGGCTGAAAAGCAGAAGTTCAAAAGAAATCGAAAGCGGGGCGCTGCTGGGATTTGAGCTAATGCCTTAACTTGACTCAGTGCAGGAAATTTTGCTCCATCCAGATGCGGAGAGCATTAGCAGATGGATAAGATCTTTCTCATTTCTGTGGCACATAATTGTCCGTGGAGTGATTTGTCAGTTTAATTTCAGTAATGGCAGTGAATAATGGCTAGGAAAGAGCATGGAAGACAACGTGTAGTGATACCTCCTCACATACATTCTCATCCTGCAAAAACTTGTACTTCGACCACGTTTTGTGCTGGAGTTGTTGCCTTCATTTTTTATAAATCCCAACGCCTTTTTTCCCCCTCTGCCTTTATTTTTCTACTCATTTTTTTAAACTTGTGTAAGCTATTAGCATCCAGAGTCCTAAATTGACATTAGAAGTTAGGAATGATTTTGTTGTAGGTTACGGTGGAGGAATATCAAATTGAAAGTTTCTCTTTAAAAGCTGCCCAGTTTCTTCCAGTTCATTAATAGCCATCAGCTGCCCTTAGAAATGAGCCTCGGTAGCAAGAGACATAATTGAATGTGACTGGGCATGGCTACCTGCACCTGCTGAGCGTTTGTACTGTGCTTGTGAGACCTCAAGTTGTCCCTCACTATGAATTCTGTTCGGCAGGAAAACAAGCAGCTGTCTGCTGCCTTCTCTTCGCTTGGGTTGTTCCCAAACAGTCGCGTGGATCTGGAGTATCTTTTCAGGAGACAAATGACATTCTTCTGAGCGTGTGTCTACATTGCAAATGAACCTGTAGTCCTAAAGCAGTAGACTTGTGCTTTGCTGATTAGCTAGAAGTCTGTTTATCCTTTTGCTTTCACCACTGTGGAAAGAACAGTTCCTTTTATGGACTAGAAATACCTAGTCCTCTCTGCTCTCCTTCCTGCTGTGGTGTCACTACAGCTATGCCATGTGACTCTTAGAGCTAGCATAGGCATGCTTACCTGTGCTGAAATTTCAGTTTTTGGCGTACATATAAAATGTGTGTGTATACTTTACATATTTTTATGTAATGTATGTGAATTATGTAATTTTATCCAATACTTCACATACTTTACATAAAGTAATATTTTATCAATGCTGTTCAACATCAAATTCATCAGAATTTAAGCTAGTGGCTTTCTGCAGTGACTTTAACAGAAGTTAAAGTAATGTAAATTACTTTAACCCTTAGCACTCTTTCAGCTTCACCTTCTTCTATTTTTCTGCTTTCCAGCTTGCCTGTAAATAACATCAGTAGGAGTTACCTCAGGTATCCAAGGAACTTCAGGCAAATGAACTTCTTTTAATATGGTATCACGATAGTGTCATCTTCTCAAATAATTCCCTAAGAAAACTAAAAGTTAGTGCTGCAGTGTGTAGAAATAACCAGGATAGGTTAGTTCTGGATTAACTCCTGCACCCAATGAAATATGGAGAGCTAAATATTTTCTCAACTCTCGTTTATCTCTTCTCAGACAGTATTTCCACTATATCCATTTGTATTAGCATTCAGTTCTTCTAGTAAGAAGTGTTTGCAGTATCTTTCTTTGAAAGAATTCTTTATGCTAAATCTATAAACATTCCTGCATTAGTGTTACTGTGGCTGGTGGGACTGCAGTCTTACTAAGAAGGAGAACCATTATGCTGGCAGAGAACAAAGGTAAGGTCTTTTGGGTTAGACATTTATCACACTGAATCGCATACTGGGCCTCTGAGTGGTTGTGGTTATGAAGAGGGAACATACTGTTTCCGTTTTCTCTTTCTTTCTCAATCCGTTTTAGCAAGAAGTAAATTATATGAGAGAGAACAAGAAGAAAACGTTTCATCATTTACTGTAATGTTAAGGGCTGTTTGGAGTGCTTGCAAGCTAAAAAAAAGTTGGTTGTATGTATTTGTGCATGAAATAATTCTAATAGATGACAACAATATGCTATGAAAATTATATGAAGAAAATAGAAGATAACGTTACAGCTGTTCTTCTGTAAGAAAGATCATAACACAAGGCCTGAAACTCAGCAATCTTGGACAAGTTGAAGAGATTATGCAGCAATCTGATAATTACTGATTTGTTGCTAATGTCTAAATGTCACCAGTGCTTTCTCTTCAAATTCTGGGTGCTGTGGTGTCTAGCATAGAATGAAATTAGGAAGTAAAAAAAGTGTTTCTTGCCTATAAGCCTACACTAATTCCTTTACTTTTTTGCTAGAGAATTTCTTTGACCTTGCATAATGGTTATCGCTTTGAAAAGATAATGCATTTTATGCATTGAGTTCCTGGCTTTCTAATGCTTAGGGAATGGTCTGTAAATATTTTGAAAATAAAATGGAGGAGAAAACACAGTTCTGTGACTTGTGAATTTTACGTGGCAGTAAGACAGTTTGAAAGCTGTTTTTCATGCGTATTACTAATGTTAGTAGGGGCTCCATTTTCAAAATCCAGTCTGAATTAATGCTCTGGTTTTAACAGGAAGTTACGAAGTATCTTCAACATCTAACCCACTTCAGCTGGTTTAACCTGATGATGATTAATATAGCTTTTTCTTTTTCTTTTCTTTTCCTTTTTTTTTCCCCCCTCTTTTTTTGTATTTGCAGTTTTGCCAGGATCTCATATTTTCACGGGGATGCATGCAGGATCCCATTGTGGCCACCTTGGTTCTATAGCAGCAGTGTACTAAGTAAGTGTGTGAGTGGGTGTGTATCGGTGTGCACAATACAGTTATAGCAGAGAAGCTAAATAACTTGAATTTTAGTCAGCTTGGCAAAATCGACAGACGTGGCAACCTTCAGTATGCCATACTAACTGTGCCGATTTGTTTGAAGCACGTTTGTTCTGTGTCCATGCTACTGCTGGCTTGTTTTGTTTTAAGACTTTCTAGGAACCTATGTGTTGTGGTTCAACATTATTCTCATCCTAAATCCAAAACACAGCACTATACCAGCTACTAGGAAGAAGAGTAACTCTATTCCAGCTGAAACCAGGACACTATGTTACTTAGCTTGGCGAGTTCTCAGTAGATGGGTTCTTGGAAGCCTTTTGAGGCATCCTGTGCCATTAGAGACAGCGGTATGAATTTGCATCCGTATTGTCACCAGGATGGCTCAAGTGGCAGTGTTCATAGATTGAAACGAGTCTGATTCAGCTGAATTTCTTGTGGAGCCCTTATGTGCCGTTTGTATTTTTACAGCTGAAGTCTGGAAGATGCCACAGACACTGTATTGGACTAGGTCCTGTCCAACATGGCCCAGCCCATGTTTGACAGTGGAGCCCAGATAGGTATCCCACCGTCTTAGGCAGTTGGCTGGTAGGAATGGCTGTGATTAAATCACCTGTCCAAAGTGTCTGATGCAGAGATTTGCAAGAGTGTGACCAATACAGAATGAAGAGAGAAAAGAAGTGCTGAGAGCTCACGTGTAGAAGGAAAGCCATCACGGCACAGCACATGCTTGTGTAGGTCTCTCAGGCTTCTCTGTTCTTGGACTGTTCCTTGTTTCTGGACTCTGAGAGGTGCAGAGGTGGCCCATGGCCTTTTTTGCCTCTTTTTCACCTCCTTCAGGTTGGGCCAAGCTAACTTTGGCCACAGTTCAGACTGAAGGCGATTGTTCTTACAGTAACACTGTTGTTACTGAGCGGACAATAGTTCTGGCACAGTAAGCACAGCCTCAGAATACAGGGTGTTTTAAGCTAAAACCAGTGCTGATTCTTTCAGCCTAATATGAACCAGGAAAGAGCAGTTTCACCAGACAGAAAAGAAGAAAATCAAA